GGTCCTCGCCGGTGGCGGCTGTGGAGGGCATCACGAAGATCACCACAGGCAACCTCGTATCACTATCAGAACAACAGCTAGTAGACTGCGACACTGAGCATGACAGCGGCTGCAACGGTGGGATTATGACGGAAGCTTTCGATTACATTGTTCGAAACCGAGGCATCGCCTCTGAAAACGGTTACCCTTACGAAGCAACAGAGCGAACGTGCCGCCCCCACGTCGGACCCGCCGCTCGGATCAGAGGGTATGAGACTGTCCCAAGCAACAACGAGGAGGCATTGCTCAAGGCGGTGTCACAGCAACCAGTCTCGGTGGCATTAGACGCTGGCGGGTTAGGGGTTATGCATTACAGCGGAGGAATATACGACGGGGAATGCGGAACAAATCTGAATCACGGGGTAACGATCGTCGGATATGGGACGAGCGATGACGGGATCGAGTATTGGTTGGTGAAGAATTCGTGGGGAGAAACTTGGGGAGAGAATGGCTACATTAGGATCAGAAGAAATGCGGGTTCTCCCCAAGGAATGTGTGGTTTGGCTATGGAAGCCTATTATCCAGTGGCTTAAAGTATGATGCAAAGTTATGAAGTTAAACTTAAACATATGGTATAACATGATGATTTAGGTGTGGCATTTCGATCAAAGATTGAATTGTTTTGAGCCATTGTTATGACCCATTACAAGTTATATACACCATTTACATGATTTAAATATAATGCATCAACCATCTTCTTTGTATACCAAATGATTTTATCATAACAACCCTTCGGTCTTGTCTTTGGTTTCTTCTTATATAACAAGCCAAAGTTTTGACCTTTTTCATGAATTCAGAGAGTGGATTCTCCTGATTAGAACAAGGACTCTCTCTATCTATACCAAAGAGAACGAGAGCGATGTCACCTAAGGCATGGTTTTAGGGCTTACACTTTGGATGTCTTTACAGAATTCTTTCCTTGGTCGGCGAGGTTTCCTGCAACAGATGCCTCATCTTTTGAACATTTTCGACCACACGTAGAGGGCGAAGAAGCAGAGGAGCGCGAAAAGAACCACGTGCATGACATGGCTGTTTCCGCTTCTGATGATGCTTTTGTTCAGTTTCCTAATGTTGTTCTTCACTCCTGCTTGAGCTCTCGCCAATGTCATTTGCTGTCACCAAAACAATAACACCAACACCATTGAATCGGATCGGATCTTCGTGTTTTAATTAAATGTGCAAAGAATGTTATAAAAAATGACCGAGATCTTGATTAACATTCGCCGACGATAAGGAAGGGTTACTATCTAAACCACTTGACATGGCATGCATGGTTACGCACCTATCATATGGTATCTAATGCATCCAAGCCTAACTGTTCAACTTTAGCTGTACAGGAATCTTATGGAGACTAAAAACGCCATAATATCCTTTAGTGAGGATCTTGCCAATCCAAAATGAACATGACACCGTTTCCCTCAATACCGACCTGTTTTGTTGAGATTGATGATACAACAGTACTAGACATCAAGGTTCAAGCTTATTTATCCCCTAACCATGACAGTGAATTCACCATCACCAAAATGGACACAGCCATCTGAAGAGAACCAAATGGAAACCTAATCCCTATATCACTTATTGCACTGATGATTGCAAACAAATTAAGGCAGAGGGGAACGCCTAGGGGAATTTGATGAATCAAGAACTGAAAGATGTGCTAACCTACCAGTTCATCCAAGAAGTCCCTCTGAAATTTTGCCTCTGTCCCAATTTCTTGGGCAATCTGCATGATCACATCAGAATAAATAACCAATAAAAAGAATTTGAATGCCAAAACACAAAAGACAAAATCATCAGGCAAAATTAGCATGCTAATTTTCAGTAAGACGGGATTTTGGATAATCTTGATTGAGACCTTCAAGGTGGAATAAACAATTGTCAGAGACAACATATCCAGAAATCAGACAACTCTTCATTAAGCATAAAGAAAACAGAGACTGAAGGATAGATATCCCAATTACTTGGAAGTTGGAACAGACCTTTCACAAATTCTCATGAACAAGGTTACACAACACTTGAGGATGACCAATAAACGGAATACCTTTTCAATTCAAACTCTGTCATAAAGCTAAAAGGGATGAAGAGGATCTTAGGGTTCTTACATTTTTCAACTGCTTGACTTGGCTATGGAGACCTGTGATCTCATCATCCAAATCATGGTGCATTGGATCAATCCGCAGCATGATTTCATCTGAATTTCCGACGGGTCGAGTGCTAAGCCCATCTCTGCAACCAAAATCCAAAATCGAATTCGATTCAACACGAAAACATAGAAACTTTCGCACCGCGCGAACTCGTGGGTTTTTCCCTCAATCGACGGGTCGGAGGAACCGATCACACAACAAATTCCGAAGAACAACCAGTAAATCGAACCCTACCTAGATCTGTACGGAGCAGCATCGCCGTAGAAGGCGCCACCGGCACCGCCCCTGTGAGAACTGGATGCCATCGGAGCGATATGAAAACCCTAAATCGGACCAACTAGAGCTTTCCGAACCGAGATGAGATTTTTCTCAAAGAATTGAGACGAGATACCGCGAAACAAACGGAGGAGAAACCAGAGAATTCAAAGGAACTTGTTTTTTTTTTTCCCTTCTCTAAAGACACATGATGATATTCATATGATGTTTTCCCTTGCATGTGTAAGAGCTACATAAAAAAAAAAAATCAACAAAACAAAAATATGAACGTGAGATAAGAATATAAGATGATTCAGATGAAGACAGACAAGACATGAAGTGGCCCAAATCCAAAGAGTCAAATATTAAAAGCCCACTAATGTGGAAGTGTGGGGTCCAACACCCATCAACAATACAACTTCGGCCCACCCAATACTCATCACGTGCACCGCACGCCTCTGCTTGCTATTGTTTTTATTTTAAAAACAAATATCACATAAAAAAAACACAAAACAAAATGTCACGTTTACATCCATAGTTATCCGTAAAACTCTTCCTAATTATATATATATATATATATATTCGAATTCCAATGATTGATTTAAGAAAAAATCCCAAATAAACCATGCGTTTAGATAATTTTTTCGACTCTCAAATTCATACTGAATTTTAAAAAATTGATAAAAAAAAATATATATTCAACTTTTAATTTCTTTTTATCAAAATTCTAATCGGCGTGACGAATTCTAATCGACGACAGACAGTGCTAAGAGCTAACTTTTGAATAGTATATGCTGACGTGGTATTCTCAACTTTATCACGTCACATATCATATCATTAAATTCACAGTTTTAAAAATAATAATTATTTTAAATAAGAAAAAAATTATAGTGCGTATTTACGCATGCGTATACATATCTTGCGCACTATGGAAGCCGCAACACATTTTAATATTAAAAATGGATGAGAGGTATGATTACAGAGGGCGGAAATATAACATATTTCGAATATTGGAACCTGCACGATACTTTGATCGTGGTGGGGCCTTTTCCCGGATAGGAATGATTTTTTTTAAATGCTAATATTAAAAACAGGTAGTGGTCTTATTTATTTTGTTCAATTTTGATATTTTAAATTTACGATTTTAAAATATAAAAATGATATTGATTATTTTTCGTTTGGATTTTTAAATTTCTTTTTTGAGAATTTTTATTTTGGATTCTCGTTGAATTTAAATCCAACTAATTCGATTTATTGCTTTTAAAAAAACAAGAATCAACATACAAGCTAAAATTATGAATATGTAATATTGGTTGATGATATGAGAATTTAATCACTTTTTTTAAAAATAATAAAATGAGATTTTCATTATTGGTTTTGAGGATTATATTAGAATAAAACTCCCATGAATGTGGGCAAGTGAAAAAAATAATGGGAGAAAACTAGAATATTTCAATTTGCGGCCGAGAATATATATATATATCTATATATATATATATATATATATAAACATTGTTTTTATTTAGTTTTATATATCTACATGGAAATATAACTTATTAATTAAAACTTTATAAATATGTTTAAGAGGTGAAATAATACAGACAAACAACACAAACAATTGTTGAAGCAGTGAACAGTGACACACAGTTTGAGTTTACCATATCACTTCCGATTTGTACATAATATAACGCATAATAACCATAATTTGCAAAAAAAAAATGTTATTTTTTTGTTATATGTATTATTTTTCTGAACTTCACTTAAATTCTGTGATGTTTTTTTTTTCCTTTTTAACATTGGACTTAACGATTCAATGGATTTCTTTTTAATCCTTGAAGATTATTTTATTTTTTGGCATATTCTTCCTAATTCCGTTTTAAAACATTGAATTGAAAACGCAAAGGAAATTTCTCGATTTAGAAATAAATAAATAAAATGTGCAGCAATGAGCGATAGTGTATATATAGTCGGCCAACTTTCGATGGGAGCAACATGGGCCACCAAACCCACTTATCGGGCCGATGTTTGTGGGCCAAAGTTTGAGAAAGAAAAGGGCCCACATAAGAGAATATGGGGCCCAGTTAACCGCTTTCATCGTGGCGGGGTCCAATTCGCACGAAAACAAAGGAATTATATTGAAAAAGGATAAACCATAAGATATAACGATTTTTATTACAAAAAAAAAACCTCGAAATCTACGGAAAATATGTGTGTAAAGATGAATACCGATGAATATTATATTTTTGGATAATTTAGGTAATATATATATATATATCCGAAAATAAGATACTCGTCGGTGAATTGAGTTTTATTTTTGGATTTTTATACAAATTCAGTGACTATATTACGTGAATATCAGCTCAAATGTTCAAACTATATAGATATGGTGACGTGTCATGAATCTTGGAACCCAAAGAACATCCCAACTCTAGTTTTAATATATTGTCATAGATAAACATTTTGTGGACCGATTTATGTCATTAACTAATAATAATTTTTAAAACATCACATGGTTATGACGATCCAAATTATTTCGCCATTGGGAGTGTGAGCATTTAGGGGGGCAATGATTGGTTGGTGCAACTATGCGTTTGCTTGACAGCAAAGAAATTATTTGGGTTCCATTAAAACAAGAGAGAGAACGAAATCATGCATTGGACAAAAGAAATTTATAATTTTATATATAAAAAAAAGCTATTATATGACCCAAAAAAAATTTATAATCGTATAAACAACTGTTTTCTAATCTCAATTTAGGTATATCGTTATAAAATATAAATTCAAGATTTTATAAGATTATTAATGACCAAATTTAAATATATATAAAAAATATATTATGAAGTATCTTCAACCATAAATATCTTTTATCAATAACTAATAAACAAAATTATGACGTAGAAAACCTTCGTTAATAATAATAATAATAATAATAATAATAATAATAAACGCATGGCGTAGAAGCATGTGAAGGTTGATGGAAAATGATTAAGACATACCCGTGACATGCAGAATGTCCACGAAACTTTTTCGTCCATATAACCCCAAGAAAAAAATAATACGCTATATATATACGTATAATAATTCATAACATGCATACAAAAAACTAAATAGACGTGTTATTTAAGTTTAATATATATGATATTATTAATTAATATAAAATTTTCCCCAGAGAGACAAAGCCTGCTCCACTTTCCACTCACGAAGACTTCTCCATATCCTTCCAAGATCTGTCTCTCTCTCTATACCGTATATATATATATATGAATATATATATATATATATGTATATATTCACTGTATATTTCATGTGAATGAACCCGCCACACAGTGAGAAGACCCGGTTTGTTTTCTAACCCAAAATAACAGATTTGTAAATAAATATTTTTAATGGAAAAAGTTGTGATATGAACTGTCAATGCTGACTATAAGCCGTACATCTATTTATTTAATTCATTAAAATGAAAATTTCCGGAAGCCATTTAATCGTGCATTAGATTGTACGTAATTAATTTAAGCTTTACTTTATGGTTAATATAAACGCATAATCTCGACCGACTTCAATATACTGTGGTAGTGTTCGTGTATAAATTGATATGAGCGTATATAATAAGATCAAAGTACAATTAATGGATAACTAATGTAAGTACGTTAATCTTTAAGACGATTAAACTTTTTCAAAATTTGCTAATGTAACTATATATAAGTAGAACATTTTATACAGATTTACAAACAAATTTCTAACCACACAAACATTAGTCAGTCAATATTGGACCGTATAATGAAATTTATTAATAACAAGCCAATACCCAACTTTTCCAGAGACTTTGAACATTCAGGATGCGCCCACTATATTTGTGCATTTATATATATATATGTATTAACCTATTCACTTTATAAGCAAATAGTAACTCACACTTTAACCCTAAACCCACATAAACCCAAAAACAACACAAGATTTGGTCCCTCTATATGCCGTTCTCTCTCTCTCTCTCTCTCTCTCTCTCTCTCTCTCTCTCTATATATATATATATATATATATAGATATATATATATATACTCAAACCCACGAGCCAACTTCTTCGAAAAAATCACTTACGAAGCAGGCAAGTGGGTGTAACTTGTTCCAAGGAAGATGGACCGTTGATCTCTCCTACCCTCTCTACGATTCTTCCACGTGTCCCTTCATCGACGCCGAGTTCAATTGTCTCAAATTCGGTCGACCCGATAAACAGTTTCTCAAGTATTCTTGGCAGCCAGATTCATGTACAATTCCCAGGTACTTACACACATATACATATACATATATGTAAATAAATATATGTGTATATATATATGTTTGTACAGCATTCCACGAATTTTGCACTGTTTTTCGAGAAATTAGACGCAACCCATTTCAGATTACAATATTTCTTAGTTTGATGTTTACAAAAAAAATGCTTTCGAGCTGTTTTCCCAAGATTGGAATGTGAAAATGGATTTTTAATAATAGGTTATTTTATTTCACATAAATGATTAATTTCATATGTCAAATTTGGCGGAAAAAACACAATTTCTGTATCATATAGTGAAACTCATAAGAGTAGGTGGTGGTGGTGTTATATTTAAGTATGTCTTTATGCTTTAATTTAAATAACGTGGGTTGGAAGGCATCTTATACATAAATTGCTTTTTAGATCTTTTTCACAATTAAAACAATGACCGGGTTGCTTTTCTTATATAATTATAGCAAAACAATTATGATAATTATGCGTTGTTACATAAAGTAGGAATCTCTTAATAAAGAGAAATCAAGTACGAACTTCATGTCGATTAGTTATAACCTTTCATCATACGCCAATATTGATTTGATTACATTATTGTAAAATAAAATTTCCATATTGGTAAAAGATATATATCAGGGTTGTCCAATATGGACCATTTTGAATTGTGGTACAACTTATTACATCTATAGTATTATTATATAAACTATAAATAATTCAAAATTAACATAAACATTGTGCGATGATATGAGATTTGATTCACGATGCTTGTTATCATATTAGGTTTGACGGGGCTGAGTTCTTGAGGAGATGGAGGGGGAAGCGAGTCATGTTCGTGGGTGACTCACTGAGTCTAAACATGTGGGAATCGTTGGGATGTATGATACATGCGTCGGTACCAAACGCCAAGACCACTTTTGTGAAGCGTACCCCACTCTCTTCCATCACCTTTGAGGTAATTCGCTTCTTCTCTCTTTCACCCTTTTTTTTTCTTTTACAATTATTATTATTTCGATTAATAATACATATAATAGTATATATATATATATATGTGTATATGTATTTTGAATACAAACAAAATCAAATCAATCGTCACGAGTATATGTTTGACATATAGATTAATTATTGGGTATAAGTCACGGGCTATATTCCTAAATCCCACCATCATGAAAAGAGGGCCAAAATAATTATTTTTAAAAAAAAATTATTAAGCTGTGACATAGTGCTTGCCATCTAAGGCTATTATGATTTTATTATTTATCACTGTTCCGTCAAGTTCCTAATGGCCTCTTCTTTTTATTAGATTATATTTTGATTAAAGAGCATGGGGTTTAATGTTGTTTAAAGAAAATATCATTTTTTTAATTAGAAAAACCAAAACCTAAGCTGTACAAATTTTAGTAACTTTGGATGATATAATTTAATATAAATTAAGGATTAGCATATTCCTAGTTTACTTAATTGAGTGATTTATATCCTATTTACCAATATAGCACCTCTAGTAATTGGCAAGTTAGATAAAAAAAAAAAAAATCTTTATATTTCTATTTGAATAATAATTCCCAACACCAAAGGAGCTAACTCATCAATCAAATCTAGATGCTGTAACATGTCACTGTTTGGGAATTTTGTATTTTTCTATTTCTTTTCCATCTGCATTTCTTGATGTAAGACAATATTACATTTTCGGTCTAAAAAACAATATTTTGATTTTTTTTAATAAATATTTGAGGCAAATAATTTCGCAAAAGGAGGTATGAAAATTTCAAGATGGAAAAATAATAGATGTGCTTTGTCAAAAAAAAAAAAAAAAGTAGATGTGGAAAATCTAATGCCATCTTTAGGTCTCTGCTCACACTCTTACCTTCTGATCGGCAAAAAAGAAAAGCTGTGGTCCTTTTGGATATTATTTTTACTCCCCATCTCTCTCTTGTTTTCTTTTTTCACCAAAATGGATTTAATAATAATAATAATAATTATTATGATAATAATAATAATAATAATGAAAAGAATAAAAAATGCATGATGAGTATTGAGTGTGACCAATGAGAAGCGAGACGACCAATCTCCAAAACCTGACAACAATTGACAACCACTCCTCTTTCAACTTGTTGCTGTTTACCCCTCCTTTGTGTTTGTTTTGTGCATACACACACACATATATATATGTATATATTACTTTGAATAAAAAAATCAATAATCCGAAAAAGAAATATCGTTGGTATTGAATTGAAAACTAGAGCGTTGTTTTGATCGGCATTTTGCATTTATTGACAAAAGTACGAATATGGAAACCTCGGACAGCCTTGAACGTGACACACAATCAACCGAAGTCATTGCACAATCCAGACCATGACTCTAGTGAGAATATCTCCTCTCTGCTAGAATCATGCGTACCAATTCCTCTCCATATCACATTATTTCCATTCTTTTTTTATACAGTATCTTTGTTTCCTTTTTATTCCTAGACTAGTTTTTCTATTTATTTGTAAAACTTCCATTATGTGAATATACTACAGAATTCTTTTCTATTCTACATCTCTCTCCTTCTCGGCATTATACTAGCTGAGTAAGGACAATTCTTCTTCTATACCTTAAATTTATTAAAGATTTCATGGTATCAGAGCAGAAACCGTTCTAGAGGATCTGCGCCTTTGTTTCTCTGTCAATTCCAGCAACTATGGATTCCTCTGTTGTTCGAGTCATCCCTGTTGTGCTCAATGGAGACAACTATTTGAGTTGGTCTCGCTCTGCAAAAATGTTTCTCAAGAGTAAGGGATGGTGGGAACATGTTACCACCAGCAGAAACGTTGAAGAAACTGCTGGTACAACCCTTACAGCTGAAGCCTCCAAATGGTTGCAAGAAGATCACACGGTGATAACTGTCCTTCAGAGTTCGTTTGATTCCACAATCATGGCCTCTTTCAATCACATCGAGTCGGCCAAACTTTTGTGGGATACTCTGAAAGATGTATACGGTAACACCTCTAACATCAGCCGTATATATGAAGTTAAACGTCGGATCTATTCTTTGCGACAAGAGGAGAGATCTTTCAATGCCCTGCTTGGAGAATTCACCGCCCTTTGGTCGGAATTCCGTGAACTCCGACAACCATCAACAGTTGCAAAAGAAATGGAGAATCACGAGCAAGACAAGACATTTGCCCTCTTATTTGCTCTGAATAGTTCATACAAAGAACTTATTCAGACCATCCTCAGAGAGTCTACATTGCCTTCCTTTAATGAGGTTTGTTCTCGAGTTAAGAAGGAGGAAGGAGGCAAGACTCTGTTTTCTGGTCCAAGTGAGTTAGCTCATCATGCAAGAGGAAATCTCGGAGACCATGGTGAAATTGCTCAGAAAGCTGTGGGATTCAAACCTGGAGGAGAACGCAGAACACCCTTCTGTGATTACTGCAAAAGAAAGGGGCACACAAAGGACAAGTGTTGGGCACTTCATCCACATCTTAAGCCACAGAGGTTTGCAAACTCTCAATATGTCTCGGATAAAGCTCGTTTTGCAGGTGAATCTTCCATCGAGATCTTGGAGGCGGGTGGCAAGACAAACCATGATGCTGCCCTGAACGCTTCCATCTCTGGTTTTGTCACTAAATCTGAGATGGAAACCATGTTACAGGGCCTCACCTCCAACATCTCGAAGATGATAGCATCCAAAGACTTCGGTAATGTAGCTCTCACCTCTTTTGCCCATAATGATCTCATTGTAGATTCAGGTGCAACTAGCCACATGATTTATAATCCGAAATTGCTGTCCAATATAACGCATGCTAATGGCTCCATTTCAGTTGCTAATGGACAGAATGTCTTCGTTAGAGGAATCGGAAAATTAAAACTGTGTGATAAAGAAACTGATGCACTATATGTTCCCGAGTTTACTAACAACCTTCTGTCAGTTTATAAAGCAGCAAGAGATCTTGATTGTAGAGCCATTTTCAGTCCTAACGGTGTGCAATTTCAGGATATTAAGACCGGAAGGATCATAGCTAAAGGGAGAGCATCGAATGGACTGTATGTGTTAGATACAAATCCTGAAGCTGAAGACACCGCCCTTAGCTCCATTTGGCATGCTAGATTAGGACACCCCCATGTTCAAGCATTGAAAATTTTATTACCGAATATTACTTATGATCATAAGAGTTGTGAGGCGTGCATTCTTGGCAAACACTGTCGTAATGTATTTCCTCATTCAAAATCGACTTATAATGCATGTTTTGAGTTGGTTCATTCGGATGTGTGGTCTGCTCCTTGCAAGTCTCGTGAAAATTATAGATACTTTGTGACGTTTATCGACGAAAAGTCGAAGTACACTTGGCTAACCCTGTTAACTTCGAAAGGAGAAGTCTTTGATGCTTTTATCAGGTTCCACTCGTACATAAGGACGCAATACGATGCCAAACTAAAGTGTCTTCGCACGGACAATGGGGGAGAATACATCAACTCTAGATTCAAAGAATATTTGTCCGAACATGGAGTTGAGCATCAATCCTCGTGTGCCTACACTCCGCAACAAAACGGTGTGGCCGAGAGAAAGAATAGGCATCTCATGGAGGTTGCTAGAACATTGATGTTCCATCGACATGTTCCTCGACGTTTCTGGTGCGATGCTGTCATGACGGCTTGCTATTTAATCAATAGATTGCCAACCAAGATCCTAAATGATAGATCTCCATTTGAGGTACTCAATGAAACTCGACCTTCACTTGATTTCTTGAGAGTTTTCGGTTGTTCGTGCTATGTCTTTGTACCAGAAAATAATAGGAACAAGTTGGATCCAAAGAGCATCAAATTTGTCTTCCTCGGGTACTCAACAAAACAGAAGGGATACAAGTGTTATAACCCTGAAACTCGCCGAGTGTTTGTGTCAAGAGACGTCAAATTCATGGAGGAAATTGGATACTTTGACAAACAAAGCTGGAACGATGTCGAAGACATAGGAGTTCCACCACCAGATTATACATATACATTGCAGAATCTGTTGACCGAAGAAAAATCTCCACTGGAACCTTGTATGCATCAAAATGGCGAGACTCAAGGGAGAGAACAAGAACTGAGAACCACCGTGAGACTACAGACAGGTATTCCTGAAAATTTTGAATCTGATAATCTGAACAGGGTGGAGAATGACGAAACAAGGGAGGTAAACAGAGAGCAACCATCTGACACTGAGGAAAGAAGCATTCCAAATCTGTTGCCTCTAGCAAATCCGAGAAGTCACATCAGAATTTCAAGACCTGTAACCACGACATTAAGAAGAAGCTCGAGACAGAGAAAACCTACATATAAACTTCGTCAAGATTACAATGGTTATGCGGTAACTTACCCAATGCAAAGCTTCTGTTCTTTACTTCATTTGCCAACTAACCACCGTGTATTCCTAAGTAAAATAGATCAGGAACTTGAGCCACATACTTTTGAAGAAGCAAACGAAATGGAGGAATGGAGAAAGGCGATGCAAGAAGAGATATCAGCCTTACAAAGAAATGGAACTTGGGATGTGGTGACACTGCCAAAAGACAAACGTCCGGTGGGATGTCGGTGGATATATAAGATCAAATATCGGAGCAACGGAGATATAGAACGTTACAAAGCTCGACTAGTGGCTAAGGGTTACACTCAGACCTACGGCGAGGATTACACGGATACGTTTGCTCCGGTTGCCAAACTTCCCACGGTAAGGGTAATACTTTCCATTGCAACTAACTTGAATTGGGAACTTTGGCAGATGGATGTGAAAAACGCCTTCCTCCAAGGAGATTTAGAGGAAGAGATATACATGAGCATGCCCCCGGGATTCCAAAACTCACTAGGGGAGAACAAAGTCTGCAAGCTAAAGAAGGCGTTGTACGGTCTTAAACAATCACCACGACAATGGTATGCCAAACTTTATGAAGCCTTGACCTCTCACGGCTTTAGTCGAAGTGAAAGTGATCATTCACTTTTCACATCCCAAAGTGAGAAAGGTATCATCGTGTTACTTGTATATGTAGATGACATTATCATCACCGGTAATGATTCCCATGGCATTGAGAAAACAAAGCTTCTATTACATAATTCTTTTGATATTAAAGACTTGGGTGAACTTAGGTACTTTCTTGGTATAGAAGTAACTCGATCAAGCGATGGGTTATTTCTATCTCAAAGAAAGTATACACTTGATCTCTTGAGTAGTGCAGGTAAACTTGGAGCAAAACCAGCAAAGACTCCCATTGAAGTAGGCTACAAGTATCAACAAGAGGGGGAACTACTTGAAGACCCCGAACGATATCGGAGAATTGTAGGTAAGCTTATCTATCTCACAATTACTAGACCTGACTTGTCGTTTGCTGTGGGACAGGTAAGCCAATTCATGCATGCACCAATGACTCGGCATTGGGGGATGGTAGAAAGGATACTCAAATACCTCAAAGGATCACCGGGTAAAGGGATTTGGATGAACCAGAACAAAAAAGTCGACATTGTCGGATACTGCGATGCAGATTGGGCCGGAGATCAACAAGATAGGAAGTCAACCTCGGGATATTGCACATTCATCGGAGGAAACTTGGCAACTTGGAAAAGCAAGAAGCAAAATGTTGTGGCAAGATCAAGCGCCGAAGCAGAGTACCGTGCCATGGCAACAGCAGCGAGTGAGCTCATTTGGCTTAAAGGACTCCTCCGGGATCTTGGTCTAGCCTCCGACGAAGCCATACCATTGCACTGCGACAACCAAGCAGCTATCCACATCGCAGCAAACTCGGTATTCCATGAGCGAACCAAACACATAGAGATTGACTGCCACTTTATTCGCGAGAAGGTCACTCAAGGAATTATCACAACACCTTACACTCGAAGTGAAGATCAATTGGCTGACATGTTCACCAAGGCTCCCAATGTCAAGAACCATGAAGACACTCTATCCAAGCTTGGTGTTGTGGACATTCACAAACCAAGCTTGAGGGGGAATATTGACGAAAGTACGAATATGGAATCCTCGGACAGCCTTGAACGTGACACACAATCAACCGAAGTCATTGCACAATCCAAACCATGACTCTAGTGAGAATATCTCCTCTCTGCTAGAATCATGCGTACCAATTCCTCTCCATATCACATTATTTCCATTCTTCTTTATACAGTATCGTTGTTTCCTTTTTATTCCTAGACTAGTTTTTCTATTTATTTGTAAAACTTCCATTATGTGAATATACTACAGAATTCTTTTCTATTCTACATCTCTCTCCTTCTCGGCATTATACTAGCTGAGTAAGGACAATTCTTCTTCTATACCTTAAATTTATTAAAGATTTCAGCATTAAAAGAGAAAAAAAAAACGTTTTTTCTATGGTGGGGCAAGAACCGGAAGATTTCGATTATTCTTAGGAGATATTGCATTTCATCGGCACTCTTTTATTGACCATGGAAACATGTAGAGTGATTTTGTAATGACGTTTATTTTATTTTATTCTTATAAAAATAAATAAATCAGGAATATGGAGTGATTTTGTATCTATACCGAACGCCATACCTAGTGGACATCTCGAGAGAGAGCGTAGGCCGAGTGCTCGACCTCAAGGCCATTGACGGTGGAGCCGATCTTTGGAAAGGGATGGACCTTCTCATCTTCAATTCTTGGCATTGGTGGACCCACAAAGGCCAGTCCCAAGGGTTGGTACCATATGGAATTTCAAAAATCTTTGATATGATTTGGGTTTTAAGCAAGATTGCTACATATATATATATATACATATATATATATTCGGATTATCGTTAATCATGTTGTTTTAGGTGGGATTATATGAGAGAAGGGTCTGCATTGATGAGAGATATGGACCGTTTGGTGGCATTTTACAAAGGACTCACCACTTGGGCTCAATGGGTTGATCTCAATGTTGATACCGCCGTGACCCGAGTTTTCTTCCAAGGCATTTCTCCCACGCATTACGAGTGAGTACATAATACATGGACCTAGGGATGAGAATTTAAATATTTGAAAATCGGATACCCGACGTTTTATGGATACGAAACGATTTTTAACACATGCCATATGGATATAAGATAGAAAATCTTCGGATACGAGTTCAAATATATGCATTTGTTTTGTTATAAATCGATTTTTAAATAAATTTTGGATTTAGATTAACGGGTATATGAATATTTTTATCCTAGTTAGAATGCAAGAAATCTTTGGACGAATACAAGTATCAAATTGTGATACCCGAAATCTTTCGATATGAATATCCTAAAATTCCATTGGGAAAACAGGGGTAGGGAATGGAACGAGCCGAGGAAGAGCTGCAACGGGCAGATGGAGCCGTTGAGCGGATCCACGTACCCGGGCGGGGAACCGCCGGCTGCAGCCGTGGTGGAGAAGGTGTTGAGCTCGATGAGAACGCCCGTCTACTTGCTCGACATCACGACTTTATCGCAGCTGAGAAAGGACGCTCATCCTTCTACCTATGGCGGCGACGGCGGCACGGACTGCAGCCACTGGCGGCTGCCCCGGCTGCCCGATACCTGGAACCAACCTCTCTATGCGGCCCTTTCTATCGCAGCTGAGAAAGGACGCTCATCCTTCTACCTATGGCGGCGACGGCGGCACGGACTGCAGCCACTGGTGCCTGCCCGGTCTGCCCGATACCTGGAACCAACTTCTCTATGCGGCTCTTTCCACGTGAAGAATCTCGCTAGAGGTATATATCCGGTTCGGAAGAACTATCTCTCTCGTCTTGTCTGTACATTACATTCTTGGAAGTGTGGAGAGAATCTGACACACACAAAAAGATGAACTGTAAAATGTTTAGTTTAATTCTTTTCAAAGGGAAATAATAAGCGGATGATTTTTGTGTTATGATGCATTACTACAATGGAATCGCCAAGCGAAATTGTTGTCTTTATTTCAGTAGTTTTTTTTTTGTTGTAAAAAAGGATCCAAATCGAATATACATAATCGTATAATCTTATGAATATGTATTTTTAAAAATTAAATAAAGACTAATTGAATATTAAAATAATAGAAAAACAATTAAAAAAAAAACAATGAGCATTTTTCAATAAAATCTCAAGAGAGCATTTATCAATGTATAATCGTCGAAGGGACATTTTTGCAAACTCGAACGAGGGGATTCGGAGAGTAAATTCTGAAATCGGAAACGGGGTTATGAATTTGCCCGGGTTCACGGTTTTGCGCCGGTTTGCTCTAGTCAACATGCTACCGGTTTATGCGGTACAAACCGGTCCGGGTGGCCATCCGGGTCGCTGTTCACCCGATCCCGTTTTGCGAGTTGATATAGCAGTCGAAGGAACTCGGGTTTGCTGTTCGTAAACTGTTTGTGTGACGTGAGAAATCTTCGGTTTTGGATCGCTCGCAATCTGTTCGACCAAATTCCTCACAGAGCGTGTGTTATCCATCACCAGGCGAGTTTCTGGGCTCCTCTCAATTTTCCTACGCACTTCTGCAATGAGACTGAGAAGGATCCTCGCTTCCATTTCGACGAACTTCTCCGCTACAAAATCCTTCTCTTCGTCTTCTTCTCGCTCTTCACTTTATCAATCGAGGCGTATTTTCACTGCACACTCATCTGTTTCGCAACAAAATGGAGGGAATCTGCTCGCGGAATCATTACCGGGAAATTTCGTGAAGCGTGCTTCGCTTGGGTCGGTTAGAAATTCCAGGTTTGCAACTGGGTTCACGCCATTGCAGCCGAAGCCGTTGGATTCCATCATGGATTTGGAGAGAGCCAAGACGAAATCGCCGGAGGAACTCACGTCGATTTGGGACGATGTAATCCAAACCCTTCTTCTCTTTCTTTTGTCTAAGATTGAATTCAGTTTCTCTCTCGGATTTTACTACATTATGTGTTTATCAGTTTCACTTGGGACGAGGTCATATTGGGTTGTCGATGCAAGCTCAGCTTTATCGACTATTAGAGCATCGAGCATCTGAATGGTAGTTCCCTTTGTTTTTGTTGAAAAGGCAATTTTTTTTGGTGAAACTAATCGTCTTGATCTGAGCTTGTTCCTATTGGTTTTGCAACTGCAGCCGTTACTTTGTCATTCCTCTGTGGAGAGGAAAAGGCTACACAACAATGTTTGTTCAAGGTTCCATCTTTAGACCCTGGTTATGCATTTTGTAGAGTTTCAATTTATTGGGTTTGATATTCATGCCTTTATTTTGTCCTTTAGCCACACAAAAGGCCAAAAGAACAGCGAAGTGATATTGTGATGTTAGGTTTTATGATCAATGTCGTTCCGTTTCTAGTCGTACTGTCTCCCTTAGAACAGCTAGTTATTCTAGAAAAAAAATGAATGACCTTGTGTAGAAGAAACTAGTGATATCAAGGATAGTTTTTTCATCCACAATGCGAGGCTTGTTCTCGCGCCGGGTTATATTATTTCTTTCCTGTTGGACCCATTGGCGATAGCTTTGTTGCTGATGTTGCATTACAATATTACATGTGTGATCGAAGTGCCAGTTTGAGTTTGGTAAAAACGTGTGAAATCTCTCTGTGATTTTCTGTCTGCTAACATGAGTAGTTCTATCTTCTTCAAAGAATACCTTCTGTAACCGCTTCTTGATCTTTTTGTGTTTCTCAACTTGATACCATTTATTTGGCAGTTCATGCGCCCCACATACTTTTCACGGGTCTCGAAGATTACAAGGCCAGAGGAACACAAGCAGCTCCTTATCTGACCAGCACATTCTACACCGAGTTTGCAGACACAAAGGGTTTGGTTCTTATCAGAGGCGATGTTGTGTTCACCAGCAAGCTCACGGATGAGGAGGCGAAATGGCTTATGGAGACAGCTCAGTCCTTTTACCTGAACGATACTCGGTACAAGCTGGTTGAAGGGTTCAATAAGAAAGCTCGTGATTTCGAGTTTAGGGATGTGTTACAAGCTCTAGACATGCCTATTCTCTGATTTTCCCTTTGAGTGAAATGGCTCTGGATCCAGTTCTTGAAACTTTGTCGGGCATCATGGCTGATAAGAATATGGCCGAAACTGTTTTACTCGTCGGTGTGACTGCTGTCTGAGATGTTGCATGTTCTGTTGAAGTGATCTTTTCAAGAGTTTCGTTTTTGCCATTGTCTAATTAAGTAGGAACATTTCATACCAAAAAAAAAAAGTAGGAACATAGTCGGCAATTTGTTCAACTCGGAATAAACCTTTGGGGTGAATTTGTAAGGAACAAAAGTCAAGGGTGTCATTTTGAAAATATAAAGCTTTGATCTTATAACTTCATGGCCCAATAAAATCTCTTCTTCTTCTTTTTCTTCTCCCGACTGGCTCGCATACTGTAGTATACAAACGGGCATACATATATGTATATGTTCTGTATTGGTTGAGAAACTCTGTGTGTATACTCATCTTGTTCGATCTTCTCTCTCAGCTACCTCTCGTATCCTCCATAATGTCAGACCACAACTCTGAAGAAGCCAACCAAATCGAGAACCTCTACGAGTTCGGCGAGCGTCTGAACGAGTCCAAGGACAAGTCTCAGGTTCACCTTCATTTCCATCTAGGGTTTTTGATCGAAATCGAGCAGTTGTGGTTTACTTCCTTGATTTGCGTTTTTTCGAAATCATTTCCGGTTGGAATGTGGTGTTTTTCTTCGATTTTTGCGTGGCTTGTTCTCTCGCTGATTTTTTTTTTTTTTGCATTCTTCTTTTTTGGTATGCAGAGTGTTACAGATTACGAGGGTATAATCGAGCTGTCGAAGACGAGCATCAAGGCCAAGCAGCTTGGGGCGCAGCTTATTCCACGCTACTTCAAGTTCTTTCCGAGTCTTTCCACCAAGGCCTTCGATGCACATGTGGATTACCTTGAGGAAGAGGATCTCGGGGTTTGTCCTTCGTTAATCTTCTTCTGTATGCCATTTATTCAGAACATGTGTATGAACATCTTAGCTGTGGAACTTCGTAGCAAAGTCATCTTCTTGTTGGATAAAAGGTGGAGCCTGGATCTTGTTCTGTTCATGCTTAGATGGGGTCGGAACCAATTTCTTTCTTTTTTTTGGTTGAAAGGGACCGATTTCTTCATCTACCAGTTCGTGTGGAGACCAATTTTTTTGGTTTCTGTTTTGTAGTACTGTTCTTTGCATATGCTTCCTGTTTCTGTATCTCTTTCTTCTTGTTTGTAGGTGCGGGTTCAAGCCATACGTGGACTTCCGCTGTTCTGCAAGGATACGCCAGAATTTATCTCTAAGATTGTTGATGTTCTTGCCCAAATCTTTTTGACTTGTGGTAACTCCCGACTTTTTTATTATTAGAACTTCTACTACCTATTTTGCTTCTAGTTGATCTGATATGGACTTTAATATGATCTACTCAGAGGACTCTGTGGAGCGTGATGCCGTGCATAAGGCTCTTATGTCATTGTTGAGGCAGGATGCGAAAGGTAATCTTAATTCTTCTACATTCAGTTTAATAATACTCTTATGATTATGAACTGATTTCTGAGGGGGAAAGTGCATAAAGCAACCTTCCAGTCATACCATGAAAAGGCTGGTAGATAATTTGTTATCCCTGAGTGTTATTCACTGGACCTTATAACAGTATATTATAGGTTTAGGCAAATAACTAATTCTTGGAGCACTGTGTACACTTGAATCTCTTATATTCTATTTCTTATCTTTTGCATATTGATGGCATATGTGGTCTTTGTAGTGGCTTTGTATCTTTCACCCTGCTTCACCTTCTTCTTGTTACAGCATCTTTGAGTGCATTGTTCAAGTGGGTTGGGACTGCTGATGAACCGGCTACTGACGATGCAATTCGTGAAAAGGTCCTAACCTTCATTAGAGATAAGGTTAGAATCTCCTCTAAGACGTTCTTCAGCATTTGGTTAAGGTTTTTGTAGCATCCTCCTTATATATTGGCCTCAAATTCCTCTCTTTTTCCGATGTGGGACATTTATCATACATGTTCTAGTGCGTTGATTTAATCTGTTTATTTTAATACTGTGTTTTATGAAGCTGTGAGAAGCGGGTCTTTGCCATAGTTTGCATCAATTTCCTAGTTATAGAAGGGGTCTTATACCTTAAGATTGTACATAGGCAAGTTAGACAAGTAGTCTTGTACATATGGAAGTTGTGATGTTCTGTCGATCATTCCATTTGTGATTCAAATAGATTCTTACAGAGTAATAAGGAAAGTAAGATTCTGATGATAAATAATACTTTGATGTTAAGATATTGTTCTACCTGTGTGCGATAGATTTTTAGAGTCTAAGGAATGAACATCCTTTGGGAAAGGCTTTAAATTTCATTTCTCTTAATCTCATATCATCTCTACTTAATGTATTTTCAGGTATTTCCTCTTAAAGGGGAACTCTTAAGGCCTCAAGAGGAAATGGAAAGGCATATGACTAATTTAATTAAGAAGGTAAGATCATTTTATTTGCCCGGTGGAGTTCTTGTCTGTTTCTTGTGTTTTTTTCTTTTCCAACTTTCTTTGGTTTTTTCCAGAGCCTAGCTGACGTAACTGGAGGAGAATTTAAGATGTTTATGGATTTCTTGACAAGTTTGAGTATATTTGGGGTGAAAGCTCCTACTGAAAGAATGAAAGAGCTCGTAGAAATTATTGAAGGGCAGGCTGATTTGGATGCACAATTTAATGTGAGTGTTTCTTTGCAGTCTCCTAAAAGATCAATTTAATATCTTGATTATGTGCAAGAATCGTCATAGTTATTCCTCCCTGCTGTTTGTTGTTGTTTTGTTTTTGCATCATTCAGCCGTCATTATCTAGAAACGAAACATAGTTGTTTGATGTGCTCAGTTGCGGTCGTATGGCACTTTCGCTTGCATGAAACCTCCTATTAACATTACCATTTAAATTTTAATCATGAAAATGTGACGCTTTAGAATTAGTTTTAAGATTTTGGTTGTATGCATTTTGATGTTTGAGTTAACTGATTTTCTTAATTTTCATATCCTTCCATAATGAGGATTATGGTTGGCATTACAGGGCTGGAAGACTTGTTAAATGAAAAGCTCTTGTTCTTTACTGGCTTTGCGCCTGATTCGCAACATTTTTTCGTTCCAGGTTGAAGATACAGACCATATTGACAGGTTGATATCGTGCCTGCACATGGCGCTTCCATTCTTTGCGGTATGTACTTAGAGCAGGCGCTGAGTATCCAGATGTTAGAATTCAAGATATTTCTGAACTTTGTTTTGTATCTTGTAAACTTTACGTATTTTGAGCAGAGAGGTGCCCCAGGGAGCAAGTTCCTTAGCTACTTGAACAAGCACATTATGCCTGTTTTTGACAAGGTACCTTGTCATTGACTGACGTATTATCTAAATGTGTTAGATTATTTTTTAGTACAAGTGCTCACAATTGCATGAGTATGACCGCACTATTCGTTTATTTTCACTATCTAAGTTGCTGTGACTCTGATACATGACACTGAAGATAGGAAGTAGACGGGTATTACTTTCTCAGTTATGTGAGTTCTATTTTTTTAATGCACATTTACGTCGCCACTAGTTTCTGTCTTCCCTTCTATGTAGAATCTGCTTTATCATTGATTTTGAAATGTCTTTCTCGCCCAGCTTAAGTCTTATCTGTTTTATTAGCTCCCGGAAGAGAGGAAGCTTGATTTGCTCAAAGCTCTTGCCGATATTTCGCCTTACACAACAGCTCAAGAGGCACGACAGATTCTTCCTTCAATAGTTCAGCTTTTAAAGGTACTGCTAAAGAATTTGTTTTGACCCTGAATTTAGCACATGCATTCCTCGTCCTGAGCACATTGACATTTCACTCAATTGTTTCAATGGCTCCGATGTGTTGTTTGATTAAGATCTGGCTGCATATCATACCATATTCTATTTTTTCTTATAAACGTACTCGCTCTCTTTTCAGAGATACATGCCGGCTAGGAAGACTGGAGAGGAAATGAACTTCACGTATGTGGAGTGCTTGTTGTATGCATTTCATCACTTGGCCCACAAGGTTGCAAGCTACTTTTCTGATTTGTACATTTTAATTTTTCTTCCTTTTTATACTCAGTTCAGTTTGATTCTGTTGAATATATAGGTCCCGAATGCTACAAACAGCTTGTGTGGGTATAAGATAGTGACCGGGCAGCCATCTGATAGGCTTGGGGAGGATTTCTCGGAGTTTTACAAGGACTTCACTGAGAGGTTATATCTCTAAATGAATTAGCATCGGACCTTCTTCGAATTGAAGTTTGATCTTTTGTTTTCTTGCTTCTGGGAGAAATTTAGAGAAGAAACTTTGCCTGGAAAAGCTTGAAAAAGCTGTGGGAAGAGCCAGCAGCAATATTATTCATAAACGAACAGAGAAAAATAAGCTTTTCAAAGAATGCATACACTTGCATGTGACCTTACCTCTTCGGTCCTCAAGAAATGCAGTATACATTCAACTTAGGATTCTGCTACATGTTAACTGTCCTGTGGTACAGGTTGACCAATGCCGAGGATCTGACGAAGGCGACAATGAAGAAATTAACTCAGGGAATGTCTGAGAACAACAAAGCCACGTCAGCTGCCAAGACCGATGAAGAGAAGGAAAGCATTGTGAGTAGTATAGTTATCTAAGGTTCTGATGATTTCCAATCCAAGTGCTCTCAGTTTTTTCAAGCTTATTATATGGATAACCGTGCAATATCTTTCTTCAGAAAACGAAGAGGCAGAATACCACCGCTGGACTTAGGACCTGTAATAACATATTGGCAATGACAAAGGTAAAAAACTTTTCTGTTTTTTCGTGTAGGAAAATGTGACCGATCTGATTGTATTGTATATATATGTATATATGAAACAGGCGTTGCATGCAAAAGCACCTTCCTTCATTGGGGATAATAAAAGCGTCAACCTTTCATGGAAAGAAGCCGTAAAACAACCTCTGGCCACTGCTGCGACAGCCGGGTACGAGATATGAAATCCACTTGTCTTTTCTATCTTCTTATTGAATGGCTGCCATTTCAGAGGGGAGGGCTTAGGTTAGTTTGGCTGCACAGGGGAAAGCGAGCTGCGGGTGAAGGAGCGGGAAATGTGGGGTGGAAGAAGGGGCGTGGCTCGGGTGGAATGCACAACAATGGACGCGGCAGGGGACGGGGAAGAGGCTACTGGTAAATAACATACTACGCTGTTTTCTTTCCATTTTAGGAGCATTTTCCGGTGTATTTTTAGGGTAAAAATCTGTGTAAAACAGTGTGTGTGTGCCCCTTGATGATGGTTACAAGTTTTGATTGGTAGGGTGTGAAAGGAACTCTTTTCTGTGAACTGACCAGAGAGGTGGGGATTTCATCTCATGGGACTTGAATATTTCCTTCTTTGAAAATGTTTTTCAGTTTAAATCCAATACAGCTAAGGGTTATCCGAGTTTTATGCATATCCGATGTCGGCGTATTTCTTCCATCTTAAGGTTGGTCAAAAAATATTAAAATGGCAAAGCAAAATACTAACATAATCTAATCAAATATATTTATTATCTTTTCCATCTGTAAAATTTATATTTAAAAAATCATTTTATTCAATAAAAAAAAGTTATGATTGATTTCAAAATCAAAGGGGTAGGGTTTGAGAAATGGAACCCTTGGTTCAATTGGAAGCACCAAAAAGGGCAAACAATATTAATAATTAAGAGTTCATTATGAACTGATTCATGAACCCAAATTTAAAACGAGAGAAAAAAAAGTCACGAACCACTAGAAAATACAAAAAAAAAGAAAAAAGAAAAGACGTGTTCTGAGAAGTTGATGTCCACTCACTTGGTAGTGAGCCACGATCCATTCTACACGATTGGAAAAACGTTTTATGCATCTACAGAAAACACGTACTCCCTCCATTTAATTTCATTTTAGATGACGTTTTTAATTTTAAACGCATGTTTTTAAAAAAAAGATTATTTTATCTAAAATGTCTTTATTTATTGGATAAAAATATTATTTTTAATATTTGATTTGACTAATTTGGAAAAATATCAAAAAAAAATATGTGGTAAATCTAAAAACGGTATTTATTTTAAAATAAAAAATTATTCTAAAACTTCAGGGTGTTGAATGTAAAAATTATTCTAAAATCTCAATTGGATTGACGTTTTCGAAGTTTTTAAAATTTTAAAATTGAAAAAATTGACAATCAAATTTTTTGAAATTTAGTTTTTCTAAAAATTCGAAAATCTATTCTATGAAAAAAAATCAACTACAAACTAAAAATAACTATTTTTTAGATTTACAAAAAGCTTTGATTTTTTTTTTTTAAAAATCAAAACCAAGGAAAAAAAAATCTAAACTTTACGAAGCATTATACGTACACATCCCGATAACGCCATAAAGATCCTGATGTTCTTTGTCCCGCTGAGACGTCCCACACTTGTCCGGGCAACAACCCTTCTCTGCAATCTCATGGAACCGGCGACGACGGCGAGTTCCTCGTTTCGTGGGTCTTCACGACTCGCCGCCTTGGCTCAGCAGCTCCGCCTTTACAAGCCGCCGCCTCCGTCGTCTCCGTCGGGCGACGAGGCGGAGGAGCAGCGGGTAGATCAGGAGAGCGCGGGGAAAGTGATTTCGCAGGTCGGATTTCAGGAATCTGTGACTTCTGTTTCGAGAGATCCAGAGCGATTCAGACCGAAGAGAGCGGCTGTTCTGATCTGTCTGTTCGAAGGAGAAGTTGGAGATTTGCGTGTGATCCTCACCAAGAGGTCTTCCAGATTGTCTACTCACTCGGGTTTGTTATGCTTTTCAAAAAAAAATTGGTTCAATCCTCTAGAATTTGAAAAAAAAATTGAGTTACGAATCGGAATTTTCGGATGTCTCAGAATTGTGTTCAAACCTAAGAACGCTGTCTTCATGATAAAGTCTGTAATTGATCACTTGAATTCAATATCTGAATTGGAGATGAATGATGATGGTCACAGTTACACCGAATTGCGTCCGAACACTCAGGACAATGTCTTGAAGCAAAAGCAACCTTGTTATTGATCACTTGAACTCAAGAACTGAGCTCAAGATTGATGATGCTGATGCTGATGGTGATGATGGAGAGAAATGATGGTTTTGGTTGCAGGAGAAGTTTCGCTGCCGGGTGGTAAAGCAGAAGAGGGTGATAAGGATGATGGACAGACAGCGACCAGAGAAGCCGAGGAAGAGATTGGATTAGACCCTTCACTTGTTGATGTTGTCACTTGTCTCGAACCATTTCTGTCTAAGGTATAAACAAAAATTTGTTCCATTTTTCTTCTTGTCCTGTGGATGATCTTTCACTGGTTCTGGTGGCTGTTCTTTTATCTCGACATCATTGTGGTTAGCTGGCGGGTGATTCTTGTGAAATTGTTGCAGATCCTTAGGCATACTACAGGTTTCTTGTCATAGAGTTGCAGCCAACTGTATTGGCTTTCCTAAACACAACTGATTTTACAATCCTAGATAATTTACAGTGGGAGTTACTTAGTTATAGCCGTAAAACTTTTCATGCTTCTTTTCTTGCCGATGATTTTGATGCCAAATTTTCTCCGCCAGATGATAATCTTATGAAAAAGCACGAGGCATTTTTCTTCATTTTCCATTGTTTACAAGACTTTTCAAGCAATATTCTGCAATTATGTTCTTCATTTTTCAATGCAGCATCTCCTGAGAGTTATTCCTGTAATTGGAATTCTACGGGACAAAGAAGCATTCGAGCCAACACCAAATCCTGCAGAAGTCGAAGCTGTGTTCGATGCACCCCTGGAAATGTTCCTGAAGGTTCCTCTAATTTTCATTAGAAAAAGAGTTAACTTAGTTTTAGACATGCTTTTCTTTTCATTCGAACCCTCAGTTCTCGAAAAAATCTCTGTCCAGGACGAGAACCGGAGATCTGAGGAGAGAGAGTGGATGGGCGAGAAGTATCTGATTCACTTCTTCGACTACAAAACCGGGGATAAGGAGTATGTGATATGGGGCTTAACAGCTGGAATTCTGATTAGGGCAGCCTCAGTGATTTATCAAAGACCTCCAGCTTTTGTGGAACAGAGTCCGAAGTTTAAGTTCCCTAGAATGGTAGACAAAAACACTTGCATGCCCTGACAGAGATTTTCTCTGGATTCCATTTTCTAGACTGAGTCCTCTCCCACTACACCAGTGAATGCAGAAGAAGAACTAGCCTGCTAGCTTATATATGCAATAATAGCTGAAGAATCCGAGCTCATTGCTCTCCGCTGTCCGAGAACATCTCATAAAATGTGTCTGAAACTTGTGCTGAGCAGAAAGATTATCTGAGGTGACTCCGTCTTTCACGGCACGGGTCAGTCCGTTTCCTGAACTTGACGATTATATACCGTTGATTTATCTGTATTCTCGGTTGATGAGTTGTCCCCGCAGGTGTTTAATCGTGATTAGGCAAACAGTTTCCCGGTAATCTGATGACTATACAGCAGATTTTCACCATACGGAGGACTGCTTTAGACTAATGAACTGCATTTTCAGTCTGTTCTTGGTTTATCTTTCCACAGGAAGAAGATGAGTGTTTAGTGATGGGTTTCATATGAACAACTAAACTCAGTTTCTGACTCAGGACAGTTGCAATATCCTCTGGTCTCTGTCTCTGTCTCTGTCTCTGTCTCGTCCTTTCAGGGCAGCCAAGACAAAACATATTGGAGTGAATACTCTTAATTATAGACGTTATCCTTTAAGACAATGGTCACCATTTATATTATATAATTTGTATATGTTTTGATATGCTGCAAAATGCTAGTTTTTTTGTTACATTTTGAATTAATTTATGATATTTATTTGTACGGTCCATTACGGGTTTTAATATAATTAATGAAATTAATTGGATCGTAATATGATTATTAATTTAAAAATAATTATTATTTGTACTGATTTTCCGGCGACGAAGTGGACTTTGAAGGGACTCATTAAACTGTGAGCCACACTCCTATAAAATATCAGATTCTCAGGCGAAAAATAGTATTCTGCTTGTACGCCATGGAGCCCTCTCTCTCTCTCTCTCTCTCTCTCTCTCTCTCTCTCTCTCTCTCTCTCTCTCTATA